TTTGCGGTTTGCTTATATGCTCTAGATTGGTGTTTTTTGTATGAGAAAATTGATGTTAAACTTTTATTTTGAAAGAAACTTGTTATTGTAAATTTTTTACTAGAAAACCCCACGGGTACCCAGCGGGTTGGGTTGGGTTTGAGTTTTTCAAACCCAACAGGTTTTACCCCGGGTTTTTTTGACGGATAAACCCATGGATTTGGGTTTGGGTTTGACAAAACCCGCCCCAACCCGACCCATTGCCATCCCTAGTTGATAAGGGCAAGGCAGTAGCAAGCACAGAGGGTGTTTCATCAGTATTAGAGGGTTTTGGGGGTTCTGGCATCAGGACCTCAGGTGATTCAAGGGGATGTGGGGGAAGCTGTTGCTGCCAGCTCTTCTACACCTTTGAGGAATGATATGATGGATGTGGATGAGTTTCATTTGGTGGTTCGTAAGGGTAAAAGTACTTCTGCATGTCGATATCAAAGCAGCAATGTAAGAATCTCGGCCTCATCGATTAGTTCTCGGGTGCCGCTGAATCCAAAGAGTATTGAGCTTGTAATTCCTACTTCTCCCAAGAAGGGGGGGGGGGGAGAACAGGAGGAAAGGTAATTGAGACTTCTCTGTTGGAATCTCAGGGGATTCAATGCCCCTGAGAAACATAGATACATAAATAGACAAGTAGCAAAGTTACAAGTAGAGTTTTTTTTTGCTATTTTGGAAACTAGATTATTAAAGAATAATGTTGATGATATAAGGAATAAACATTTTAGTAGTTGGAAGCAACTAGATAATTATAAATATTCTGCTTCTGGTCGGGGTTGGTTGTTCTGGAAACCTCAGTTGACAGTTAGTGAAGTTGGAATGGGAGAGCATTTTATTAGTGTTCGTGACCAGTCTGGTACAGAATCATGCCTAGTTACAACAGTTTATAGCCCAAATAAAGTGCAGGATAGGGCACAGTTATATGATGAGTTGAGACAGTTTAGAGTGGCTAGAGAGCATGGAGTCTGGATTGGGGACTTTAATGTTATTGTTGAAGATAGTGAAGCCTCAAATCGTCCTAGTTTTAATCAAAGTATGGAGGATTTTCGTCGTTGGATTCAGGATATGCGGCTCATGGACCATAACCATTGGGTTCATGGTTTACTTGGTGGAACAAACATGCCAATAATCCAATTTCACGACGGATTGATATGCCCCTGGTTACTGAGAAGTGGTTGGATAGTTTTCCAAAGAGTCTGGTGCAGACTATTGCTCCTAGAGTGTCAGATCATTGTGGATTGTTTATACAGACTGGCTCTAGGCTTACTTCGTTACCAAAACATTTTAAGTTCTTCTTGTTTTGGAGACAGTATCCTCAATATGAAGAGCTTTTGAGAGGCTTGGCAACGGGAGGTTACTGTGGAGCCTTATCGAATATTATATAGGAAACTAGGGGAGCTTAAGAGAAGGCTCAAGAGTCTGAACAAAGTTGTCTATTATGATATATCAGTTAGAACAAGAGTAGCAGAAGCGGTGTTGGAAGTTTTGCCGAGTATTATGTTATCTGATCCCTCTGAAGTCAACTCACAGGTTGTGCTTGAGCAGGAGAAAATGTGTAGGGATCTTCAGAGTGTTGAAGAGTCTTTTTATAGGCAAAAGTCGAGGGTCCAATGGATCACTCGAGGGGATGCTAATGCTGGGTTATTTCATGGTATGGTTAAGACTAGGAATCACAAGCTGACTATTCAGAAATTGATAAATGATAATGGGGAAGCAGTAACTGATGTGACAACAGTGAGTAAGGTAGCAGTGGATTTCTACAAGGGGCTACTAGGAAATGCACACACCTCTGTTCAGCAGTTCCCTAGTGTGTTCTTTGAGGAACTATTGTGTAAGAAGCTAACTGATGAAGATGATGCTTTGCTGATCACTCCAGTTACTAGGGAAGAAATTAAAAAGGTTTTCTTTGGGATGAGTAATGACAAAGCACCAGGCCAGATGGATACATTGCTGAATTCTTTAAGATGGACTGGGAGATTGTGGGGACTGAAGTGGAGAACACTGTGTTGGAGTTCTTTAAAAATGGAGTTATGCCTAGGCATGTAAATTCAACAGTTATTTCTCTTATTCCCAAGCTTCCTATTGTTGAACGAATGAAATATTTAGGCCTATATCCTGTTGCAATGTGATCTATAAGGGTATTTCCAAGGTATTGTCTAATCGATTGTCATTGGTCTTACCACTTCTAATTAGCAGAAGTCAATGTGCTTTTGTCAAAGACCGTTTAATTAGTGATAATATACTAATGGCCACAGAGCTAGTGAAGGACTACCATAAGAGTAAAATCTCTCCTAGATGCACCCTCAAAATTGATCTCATGAAAATCTATGATTCAGTTGATTGGCTATTTCTGTTTAAGGTTATGATGACTATGGGTATGCCAGACAACTTTGTTAAATTGGTTGAGTCATGTGTACAGCCTCCTATGCTCAGTGTTTCGTTCAATGGAGGATTATGTGGCTTTTTTACTGCAGCTAAGGGATTGAGACAGAGGGATCCATTATCCCCCTATCTCTTTACAATTGCTATGAAAGTGTTTTCATGTATTTTAAATAGGGTTGTTAGAAGTAATCAGATCCCTTTTCATCCTCTTTGAAAGATTTTGGAAATCATACACCTTTGTTTTGTGGATGATCTACTACTTTTTTCTAATGGATCACCTACAACACTGTATGGGATACAACAGTTACTCTCACAGTTCTATTCAATCTCGGGCCTTAAATGTAATCCTCAGAAGCGTCAATTATTCTGTGTTGGGCTTTCTCAGGAAGAAAAACAAGTGTTATCTGATCAGTTTGGGTTCCCTCTAGGTGAGTTACCTGTCCGTTATTTGGGTGTGCCACTCCTCTATGGAAAACTGACTTCTTTTGATTGTGAATGTCTTGTTGATAAGATCACTAAACGGATCCATACTAGGCAAGCCAGGACCCTGAGTTATGCAGAGAAATTAAAATGGATTGATTCAGTTACTACTAGTGTATTGTAGTATTGGATGTCTATTTTTCTGCTCCGCCCTTTAAAGGTACTCAAGCTGATAAAGGATGCTTACAAGAGATTCTTGTGGGGTATAGATTTAAATAAGAGAAAGTAAGCTCCAGTACCATGGTCTAAAGTTGCTTTATTAAGGCAGGAGGGAGGCTTGGGTATTCGGGATTTTAAGACATGGAATAGGGCATGTGTAATCAGACATTTGTGGAATCTGTTAGTTGAAGCAGGGTCTCTTTGGGTGGCATGGATGAAGAAGTCTAGGGTGAAAGGAAGGAGTATTTGGGCTATTCCACCTAGCACAGTTAGCACTTGGTTTTGGAGGAAGATCTTGAAATGTAGAGGCTTGGCACAACATCATATAACAGGAGCAGGGGAGTCATTGGCATGGGATGGCACTGTTCTTGCTCGATATTCAGTCAAGCAGGGATGGGCTTCCATTCGAGTCCCTAGTCCAATGTTGTCATGATCTTCTATTGTATGGAGCAAACCAATTTTCCCAAAGCATTGTGTTACTCTGGTTGGAAATATTGGACATAATCAGAACAAAGAAAAAGTTGGAAAGCTAGGGGATTAGCTGTGATGTTGGGTGTGTTTTCTGCCCCGGTGGTGCAGAGACTCGTGATCATTTGTTTGGTGGTTGTCCTTTTAGTAGGCTTTGAGTAAGTTATTGCAAGAAATCTGTTTTTACCCTGACTTTGCAGATTGGTGTGCTCAACTCTCATGGACAAAGAGCACTTGGAGCCTTCCTACTAATGCAGCAGCAGTTGGAAGGGTTCTGTGGATAATGGGCATCAGCATGCTTTGGAAGGAGCGATGTGCAAGAGTGCATGGTGATTCAGTGGCAATTTCTCCATCTCATGTAGCGAAGAAGGTGATGAAAGAATATTTGCCAGCAGCCAAACTACGTTCCAGTTGAAGGTGCAGAAGGTTCTTGGAGATATAGTATAGCATGATGGTTCTGTAATAGTTTCTGGTTTAGTTTACAAGTTGTAATGAACAAGTGAACTTTTTGAGAGGGAGGATGCGAGTTTGCAACTCTCCGGGCTTCAATGCATTTTTGATTAACCATACAAAAATTTGTTTATGGCTAATGATAACTTCATTCTTAAATTAGTGTAATATGCAAGTCTTATATGTTATATATCATGAACAGTTCTATAAACGGTTCACCAACGATTTTGTAACGGTTAACCACTGAACGCTAAACCACTAACTTTTCCGGTTCAGCCTCCGGTCCGATTCTTAAAACAGAGAAATGGACCAAGGACGTTGCGGAGCTAGGCATGGCAGGGCGGATTAGAAGTATATACCCATACCCTGCCTCACGCTTCTGTGAATCGAATAATACTCGCCCATCGCGAATCAAATCAGGTAATACGCAACAGGACTGATTCAAATTCCCATCCCTATTTACAACCTTGCTCAAATTTCTACTTTATACAACACCACTTATAATGACACCATTTAAAGTATTGTGTATTACATACTTCTTACAAAACATTTCAAGTGTTGTCAAAAGCTGCATTTCCCGTAGTGAATAGTGTCGAATTGAAGAATCTGAGCAATATGACATTACCACACTCTCGAAACAAAACCATTAAATTACATGAAGCTCAAGCACGAAACAGAAGAATTGAACAACAAAATACAGATGTTGAATTAGTTAACCCCACTTTCTGGGCAAAACAAACTTGTACAATTGAGAATCAATACAAATAATCAAGTACCATAACGATTAGCTTAACAATGATCTTCAAAGCTCCCGCAACCTGTATGCCTCTCTCTATTCAGTCTGCAGAAGCCTCCCATTAGCACCACTCTGGTAGTTTTCGCATAAACAAAATCCGAATCGGAAAACCAAAATGAAAAGCAAACAAAGAATGGCCCACTCTCAGGACTTTTGTCAGTGAAAAAAAAAAAATACGAAATTGATCCAAAAGGGACACCAAAAAACTTTTGTTGGGTAAACGGATAGAACCAAAAGCTCATCTCCAGGCCGAAACTTTGAGCAATGGTGTTCCTCTCCATTCCAGAACCATCTCATTCTGATTCTCCCCTTCAATTCGCAACCCATACTGACTCTCCCCTTCCCTCACCAACTCCCTCGCTTCCGCCAGACACTCTCCCACGATTCTCATCCCCTGAAACCCTAACCCGCGCGCCAACTCTCGCCCTTCGCTCATCATCTCGCTCCAGCTCAATTCCCACTCCGAGGAGTGAATGTACGGCGCAACGAACAGATACTCCATCGCCAATCTCGCTTCCCCCAATCGGATCGGAAAGCTCCACTCCATCGATTCCAGCATCGCCCTGTAGTGATCCATGTACCCGTCGAAGAAGGCACTGAATCCACCCGAATCGTCGTTCGAATTCATCTTCCAACCAGCGCAGTCGCCATTGCCGAATGTCAAAATTCCTTTCGACCCTGTCTTGTTGTAGGCAGAGAGGGCCGACATTTCTTTCGCCAGCCGTAAGAACTCCATCACTCTGCTTTTACTCCGCCGCCGGCCCATGTGTGGCAGCCCCCACATGCAATTGAAAGCCAAGCACCTCTTCCCGCCTCTTTTCAAGCTTCTCCGAACTTCCCTCTCCACATCCTGGATCTCCATCTCATCCACTTTCAATATCACGCCGAACGAGTTAGCGTAGTCCTGAAGTTGCCTCTTCGTGCCTTCGAATCTCCGCCTCGAATTCACGTGCCCGAATTCCTCGCTCTTCCAGTTGATCGCCGTCAGCCTCACCGTCGTCGTCGCCGTCCTATGCTGCGGCTGCAACACGGCGTCGTAGAAGCCCTGAGACGAGATCTGGGGGATTTCTCTCTGCTGCTGGGCGAGCGCGAGAATGAGCGACGGCCACTGGACGCCTTCCCCTATGTCGAAGTCGATTATGTGGAGCACGTCGGTATCCTGCGACGTCGTTTCGAGGATCGCCGAATTCGCCGCAAAATGCGCCACCATTCCGTAAGGGAAAATCCGGTAGAAGGCTTCCATTGCTCTGTCGAAGTTCTTGCCGGACTCTTGTTTCAGGTACTCTGTTTGTTTGTCCAGCGGCTGGAATGCGTAGTACAACAGCCGGTCGTTGATCTCGCCGGTGGGGCTCACTTTCTCGCTGATCCGGCCTGTGATCATCTCCGCCAGCTCAGCCTGCTTGTTCTCCATCGCCTCCGCGTATGCTTTCGTTAGGTGGGTTACGCTCACCTGGCTGTCGATCTCCGCCGTCTCCGTCGGCAGCGTCAGCGCCTGACCTCCCATGAATATAGTGGTCGTAGTCTGCGCCGCCGCGTATCCGCCGCAATTCTCGTAGCCGATGCGAGTGTCGGCAAATTGTTTCGATGGATAGAGCTTGTTAGTATCGTCGACGCCTCTTAGCCAGGCACCGACGTCTTCGATTTCGGCGGCCTTGAGAGCCTCGAATTCGTCCAACTCTGCCGCAAGATTTGGGGGAACGGCGACGGGGACGTCGCAAGGGAAAGCGGCGGGTGCTGCATTGTCAATTTTGTTCGGGTTGGGGGAGAAATCGAACCAATCGCTGGATTGGATTTGGGGCTGCTGAACGGCGGCGGCGGCCTGGTAGGCAGAGAAATCAAGGTGGTGGATGACCGGCGGCGGGGGGTCCAATTGGATTTGGTAATCCGCGTAAGCAGCATCATGATCGACGGATAGTTGGAAAGGCTTGGATTCGATCATGGTGGGAGCGGAGAGAGACCCGCCCGCCCGAAATCACCGGAAAATGAATTGAGGTGGTTGGACCTCGAAGAATTTCGGGAAGTTTAATCTGGACGTCGTTTGTATTAAATGGATTAGGGGAGTGGGAAAGGACAAAAGTGGAGATCATTCATACCAGCGCCTAGCGCATGAGTTAAACTATTGGAATTTCGATAACCCTTCCAAAAAACGAAAACAAAAATTAAGAATTGTTGCAGCAAAATCCCGTCTGACGTTTCCCTCTGACGTCTCTATAGATATTACGACAATCGTGTTATACCCTGCAAGCTGTAGATCAATGTCAAAACATAGTATCCGACATTGTTATTATTACTTACATATTTATCTTAAGTTTTAAAACATAAAATATAGTTATTGCTAATGTTAAAGTAAAAGTGATGGAAAAGTTGCGCTTGCTGAGTTGATATATAACAAACAAGTAATTGGTCTATTGGTAATACCACTAACGTTGAATATGCAACGATTTCATCAGACTAATCTCAGTCTCTTATGTTAACCGAGCCTGTATATGATTGATGACTCAACTAAAGATGAAGCACTTGATCATTAACAACAACATATTAATAAGAGAAAGGAATAAACCAGCTGGGGTGAAATCAGATTAGTCATCGTGCACAACCGAAGAAGAAGAAGAGGGAGTTTGGTATGGGCTTCAGTCTTCTCTTTTCTTTACTAGGCGTTCAGTATTCTTTTGCTTTACCTTTGTACCTTTCTTGAAGTGTTATTAAAGCAGAGTCGCTCCGCCCGACCGGTAAAACTACCGCCCGGTCATAAAATCGGTTTGGAACAGTTTAAAAACCGCTCCGGTTTTATGTAGCGGTTGGCGAGCGGCCGAGGCGGTTAACCGTTCGAGCCGATCGAGCCGCTCGTCCGATTTTTGCCATTCAGCCACTAAATTTAATTAAAAAAATTGCAGAAAATCAAAAATTGAAATAAACCAAAAAAGTCGGGCTCTCAAACTGAATCCTTATTTTCATTTCACAATTTCGAAGGAAAGAGATGAGCTCTGATTAAGAAATGTCCACTTTTTATACTGATAACTTTTATTAGGTACCGGTTCTCTAACGGTTTTTAAACGGTGTAATGTCGGTTGGACCACTAAAGTGCGAGCCGTTCGCATTACCGGGTCATGCTCCGGTTCGGTTCTGACAACATTGCTTTCTTGGGTAGAGGTGCCAATTATCAATCCAATCCACCAATCCATTAAAAATATCCACCTAATCCAATCATTTAAATCCAATCCATTTGATCCAAATTCAATTGGATTGGTGGATTCATGGATTGATCCATGGATCCAAATGGCAAATTACGGTTTGGTACCTATACTTTTTATATTTTATATTTTGGTACCCAAAATTTAATTTTTTATATGAAAAATATTATTGGAATTACGTTTTGGTACCTAAAATTTTTTCATTATGACATTTTTGTACCTAAACATTTCACATTTTACATATTGGTCCTTGGTTGAGGATGTCATTTGGATTCATGGATAATCCACCAATCCACTTGATCCAATCCATGAATCCACCAATCCATTTGATCCATGAATCCACCAATCCATGCATCAATCCATTTGCCACCTCCATTCTTGGGTCAATTATGCCAACTTATTTTGATGGCTAGATCAAAATTTTATTAAAAACAGACAACCAATAACAAATCGCTATGGCGCCCATAAAAAACATACAAGATCTGTACAATAAGAAGTCTCCCTTCAAAGGAAAGGGAGAAAATCTGAGATAAAGAGTAAAACTACTACCCTAAATCCCTAGACTCAGTAACAATTCAGCAAACTCTGGTCTACTTGACAACAAAAGTAAATAATCCATTTCACATCATGCACTAACTGGGGAGGGACTCTTCGCACTGTTTGATCATTACAGCCTTGAGCAGCGCTCATGCCAAATTAGGCTAATCACTACACTCGAGGACAATGGATTCAAAGCTTCTACATTTGACTCACCACTCCACTGAGAAATACACCACTGCAATACTTCCTGTCAATCTCCCAATTTTGGAGGAGCGGCAGCCTAGAATACCATAGGAAGAACAAACCTGATATATGCACACTCTGCAAAGTGCAAAGAGACGAAACCGGGTTTCATAGCCTCTTGGGCAAAGGTTACACACGCTCGAGAGATTTTTGCCCCACGCAATCAACTTCTCTTGCAGGTTCAATCGATTATTTATCACAAGTCAAAGTATAAACCCATGACGAGGGATAATATGCTTGTCCTAAACAAGTCTGTACCACTGCACTATGTTCTTGCGCTGCCTCAAAAAGTTCCAAACTCTCTTAACATAGTAGGATGCCATCACCTCCTATCCCATGTTAAACCAGACCTCGATTGTGATATATAAAGTTGTCCGCTTCTAGACACTTTAAAATGCGCTTCCAAATCCAAGAACCAGCCGATGTAGCCCTCATATCCCACATTGAAGTCTGCTTAACACGGTAGTGCTTGATCCAAGCAACCCAAATATACCCTTTCTCAGCAAGAAATGGCCAGAGATGACGAAGAACCCTTTTGCGCCTTTGATTATTAAAAAATAAGTTTTTGTGTTATCTTATGAACCCCAATGATAAATTTTTATCCACAAATAATAATTACATCACTGCTGCAGCTAAGGCCTAATGGGAGTAATCAGCAAGGTAATTTTTTTTTTTGTCATAGAAATCTTTGTAGATTTACAAGGCAAGGATAAGGGTAGCCACAATAAACGGCATACTCACTTATCAGAAGACATATAAAACAAATAAGAGAAGTCGAATAACAATGAAGGTAATCCAGGAAAGCGTAGGGCATGTTGCGCCACTAAATGGGCAGCCCGATTCGCATCTCGAGGAGTAAATTGTAAAACAACTTTTGGCAATTGGACTAGTAATGCATGAACCTCCGAATAAATTGCGCCAGCACGTGCATCTGATAAATTACCCGAAACCAGCTTGTCAATGACCACTTGGGCATCGCCCGTAAGTAACATCTCCCGATCATGCCAATGCCACCGTTGCAGCTGATATAGTACCTCTCGTATAGCGAGCAACTCAACCAAGCCAGGATCCGACACTCCTCGAATAAAAGACCCAAAAGCAAAAGTCGGAACAATGCCTGTAAGACCGACAATACCAATAGCTCCAGAGTGATGGGGAGAAGTTGCTCCATCAACCGCCAAACGAAGACCTTGAAAAGCACCAGTAAAAACTGCTGAAGAAGCCTTATTGCGTGACGACGAAGGAGGGTGAGGTGCCGGAGAGACAATGGCAAGACGGTTGGAGTCGCGATGTGATAGGAATTGACGACGGAGAACAGGGACGGTGAATTGGGCATAAGGAGAGAACACAACATTATTACGCCCTTTCCAAAGACGCCAACAGAGAAGTAGCCAATCAGAGATGATATCCGGGGCAGCATGGCATAACAAACTCCGCCACAACAGAGCGAAATGGTAAGAAGGATCAAAACCCAGTGGTAATGAAATGCCAATTGCATCACGAAGACGAATAGCCATAGGACAACGAATAAACAAATGTTCAAGAGACTCTCCTTCATCCGATTCGCAAATTGGACAAAAAGATGGAACATCAAGACCATGTCGCTGTAAATCCTCTCGAACCGGTAGAATCCGAAGTAGAATTCTCCAAAGAAAAAACTTGAGCTTTGGCATCACCGGTAAGGACCAAACTTTTGGCCACAAAGAAGGATCAAGAGGGGAGGCAGAGTCAACCGACCGAGATGAATGAGGAGCAGAAAGAGCATTAAATTGGAGCCCAAGATGATACGCCGACTTAACAGAAAAAACGCCATTGGAGGTGTAATGCCAAACAAACTTATCCGGAGACAAAGTGCGGGGAAGGGGAATGGCAAGAATGCTCTGCACAGAAGATGAATAAAAAAAAATTACGTAAACGAGTCTCATGCCAAGTGGAGGTAGTAGGAGAAATAAAGTGAGAAACAAACAAAGGAGAATCCTGTACAGAAGGAAGACAAGTAGGACGAAAAGCGGGCAAAGTAGGTACCCAAGGATCTGTGAATGCATCAATGGAAGTACCAGAGTGAACCTCCCAACGTAACCCATGAACAAGTAAATCACGACCATGAAGAAGAGACTGCCAAGCCCAAGACGGAGTGGAGCCAGTAGTGGCTGAAAGAAAAGATCCATGAGCAAAATACCGACCCTTCAACACACGAGCAACAAGCGAATCAGGAGAATGAAGAATACGCCAACACTGTTTTGCCAATAAAGCTTGATTGAATGTAGAGAAATCCCGAAAACCTAGCCCCCCAGCAGCCTTTGATAAGCATAACTTCTTCCACGAAATCCAAGGTAGACGACGTTCAGTGCCTTGCTGTCCCCACCAAAACCGAGCAATCATACGATTAAGATTACGACATAACTCCTTTGGGAGGCGAAAGCAAGACATGGCATAAATAGGTAGAGCTGAAACAACAGACTTAATCAACGTTTCCAATCCGCCCAAAGAGAGACAACGACGCTTCCACCCTTGAAGACGTTTGGCCACC